CAGTAGGTTAACTGACTAATATGGTAGGCATTTTGTGGTTAATTTGAATGGATTTTCTCTGATCATTTCTTCCTTGTTTTTGTTAGTACTGGAAATGTTTATTATTTTTGTTGATTTCTTTTGATATCCTGCTGTCTTTCCAATGCTATTTAATCTCAATTAGTTTCTTCACTGTATGTTTACTAAATGTGCTGTCTTGTCATCTGCAAATAGGAATAGTTTTTCCTTTACTCTTCCATTTCACAGCTCAGTTAATTTGTGGAATACTTAATCCCCCACCTCATCCATCCTGCTTAATTGATTTTAATTTGCAATACCCCTTTCTATGAAGTATTGTTTTTATCTCACGCTTTTCCTTATTCATTACCACTTTAAGTGTCCTTTAGAATTTATTCTAAGGAATGCTTATGCTTTTTTAAATTTTAAACAAATAAAAATAAGAAATAAAAGAAACAAAGTTAAATACAGAAACTTAAATACAAAATAAAAAACACTGCCATGTGCACAGCAGATGAGAGGATTCAAAATATAAAGCAATACATTTTCATTTCAAGAAAGTCTATGGGGCAGCTAGGTGGCGTAGTGGATAGAGCACTGGCCCTGAAGTCAGGAGGACTTGAGTTCAAATGAGGCCTCAGACCAAACACTTGACGCGTACTAGCTGTGTGACCTTGGGCAAGTCACTTAACCCCAATTCCTTCCAAAAAAAAAAAAAGAAAGAAAGTCTATGTAATAAATACTACACATTGTGTTCAGAGCTGTCCATCTTTTCTTTACTCCCTTAAAGGTTTTATTCTGTTTTCTGCTGTGCATTTTTTAACTTTGTTCTTTTTTTCTTTCCTTCCCCCTCTCCCCTAAGAAGGCTACAATTAAGCACGGATATGTGTGTGTGTGTATGTGTGTGTATATATATATGTACACACACATTCATGTATATATACATATACACACAAACATATAGATATGCATACACTTATATACTCATACGTATGCATGGATATCTATAATCATACACATACATTCATATGCATCTATGTAAGAGTATACTATACTTGTTTGTACTTTATTTCTCTGAAAGTGGATAACATCTTCCTTCATAAATCCAAATGTTTCCAAATTTTTCTAAATCCAGGAATGCTAATTCTTGATGAAGACTGCGAGTGCAGTAGAATGTGATCTGAAACCCTATTCTGGGGTGTGGTGGAAAGGCACCTTGAAATTATTTCTTTATATTTCCCTTCATCTCATCCTTTTTGGTGTCATACTTGTCTCTTTTTGAACCAGTGGACCACTATTTTACCCTGTTTGAGATATGCTTTCCTAAATATCCACTCTTACTTTCCCCTGGTGGAATTTGGTATTGGGATACCTGATCTGGTCTTGTAGAAGTTGATTTCCAGAAGTTAAGAATTTTCAATTTCCACCCTGTAATCAGGATTCCTTGCAACATCCTGGTCTCACCGTGAGTCCTCTGTGGAGTTGTTTCATGCGCTGCTCTGTATCTGCTGGTTATGCCCAAATCCCTCTTTTCCCTTTATGATCTATTCTTAATCTTCCATCACTTCAGAGATGGGAAGAAACTGAAAGCCTTTCATCAGCCTTCATCTTAAAACCTGGACCATCTTACTGTATTCTTATCCATGAGATGGCATTCCTCTGTATTATCCCACCATCTATCATAATGGTTTAGTAATGAAGTAATGACATTTTAAATTAAATGAAATGTTAATTCGTTTCTTTCACCTAAGTCTTGATTTTTCCCATTATACTGTTGATTGTTTAATTCATTATACCTTTAGATTCTCTTATGTCATTGATTCCCACCTTGTCTTATTGTCATTCAGATGTCTGAATATTTTTTAAGAAAATCAGTTGACAAATACAAATGATCTCCCACCTCCATGGCTATGCCCTTTTTAGCTTTAGCCTTAGGAAAGTAAAGGATTCATTCTAGTGTTTGATTCATTTAATTGTTAAATATGCTGCTCAACTCCAGGTTCTTTTGAATGAATGACTTCTTCACTTTGAGTAAATGTTTTTTTTGTTTTTGTTTGGTTTTTTTTTTTTGCTATTTAGGCCTGGTTTGGCAGCATGTATTTTGGGTATTGGCCGTTACTTTTTGTTCTTTGAACTATCATCTTCAGAACTTTCATCTTTTTATCCCTAGTCCCTAACAGCACAGACTGACACTGCTGCCCTGATGAGTTCTCTTTCTAACTTGAAGTTTGTTCCTTACTGCTTTCATTTCTTCTCTGTTTTAGTTCAGTGTGTCTTTTTGCTTTAATTTTTTTTCTTTTAAAAATTTATCTTAGGGGCAGCTAGGTGGCACAGTGCATAGAGCTCCAGCCTTGGAGTCAGGAGGACCTGAGTTCAAATCTGGCCTCAGACACTTGACACTTAACTAGCTGTGTGACCCTGGGCAAGTCACTTAGCCCCAATTGCCTCAGCAAAAAGCAAAAAAAAAAAATTTATCTTGCTTTTATTGATAAAATTTGATTTAACACAGTGAGAAACATCAGTTTGTCGTGCTCTCTGAAAATAGTTAAGCAAAATAATATCAAAGAGTAACAGCAACTGCAGGTACATCACTGTTTGTTGAAAGAAAGAAGATTGTGTTAACTTTAGCAACGTCTACTATTGGCTTGTCTGTTGTTTTTAACCTGAGTTTTATTGGTCTTGAATGTTATCTTTTTTAATTAACAGAAATCTTAACTCTTTCCGTCCCATCCCCATCCTAATGGAAAAAAAGAGAAAAACAAATTCTCTGAAACAACTTGGGACCAGTTGTAAATAGCTTTATAGGCCAAAACAGAGGAGTTTGTATTTGATCCTTTAGGTAATAAGGAGCCATCAGTTCATTTTGACATTGTCAGAGGACTGAGGAAAATACTTTGGAAGGACTTGGGAAAGAAGCCAAATTGTAAGGGGCTGGAAAGTTTAGTGGGAGGGAGAAAGGAGATAGCTTTTTCTAGAGCTTTTTTTTTTTCTCTGTATAATGGAAGAGAACTATAAGAAGATATTGAGGGGATGGTAGAGTCATGTGAAGGATTAAAAAAAAAATTAAAGCATAGAGAAGAGCCAGCATGTTTGAGGTTAACCAGAGAAGGAGCCAGTATATAAAGAAAGGCTGAAAATTAGGTTGGGATAGAGAGAGGGCAATCAAAAGGGCCAGCTCCTGAATAAATGGTATGGGAACATAGATACAAGTAGAAGGGTTGACTTAACCAAACGTCATCTCAACTTTTGAAACTAGAGCAAAGGAGAAGAGTCTGAGGAATTAATACTGAAAATTCTAAAAGAACTATTTAATGCTCTTTCTGAGATACTGTGAGTGATGTTTTCAAGATCATGGAGGATGGGAGAGTGTGATCGGATTGGAGATAGGGAAATATTGCTGTGATTTTTAAAGGGAAGAGAATGAAATCTTGAAACTATAGGTCATTGAGCTTCACTTTGATTCCTGGTTAAATTCTATATGTCTTATTAAAGGTATACATATGAACATTTAGAAGAGGAAACTTTGCTCACAAAGAATGAACATAGCTTTGTGAAGAATAGCTCATGCCAGACTAGCCTCATTTTCTTCTTTGGTGGAGTTATTAGTCTGGAGAAGCAGCATAGCATAGAAGATTCAAAGGCTGCCCTTAGATTCAGGGAAATCTTTATCCAAGTCTTGAAGCTGGTGCTTTGTGACCATAGGTAAGTCAGTTTACCTCTCAATACCCCAGGCAACTCTCTCAGATTATAAATGAGTTGCTGAATTATTTTTGTGGAAGGAGTTTTCCCATAGAAGGGTCCCAACATTGATGAAATAGCAGGTTCAGATTCCCCTCCTCCTCCTTACACTTCCTTAATAAGCAAATGAATCATATATCTGGGAGTGCTATAGATAAAGTTTAACTAGCTTCTAATAAAGAATTTGGTTAAATCTCTCATTCTATTGTGAAAAAAATGGCGAGATGTTGGCTAGATAAATGTTGATTATCGTGACCAAGAGAGTACTTGGTGTTTCGTAGTCAACTTGGAAAGAATAATGACCCATAATGTTCCCCATGGAGCTATACCAGGCCTGGTACTCTTTTGTTTTTTTAACATTAAAAAAAAAATCAGATTCTAAATGGAAGCAGGAATGGTACCCTTATCAGATTTATAGCTGACAAAAGCTGTGAGGGATAGCTAATAACCCTGAATGGTAGAGGCACAATTCAGCATATATTATTTGGCAATTTAGTTTTGAAGTCCATGTTTCTTGGTGAATTAAACTTTCTTTTTTTAAAAAAAAAATCTATGCATTTACTTCATCTGTACTTATAATACTTGAGGGTGATTTTCTTGAATAAGGCTGAAGTATGTTTTTTTTTAAAGTTGTGTTTTTCTTCATAATCCTTATATTATCTCTCTATAATTATGGTTCAAGTAGACTCATTCAGCTGAGGAAATGTATTAATCTATTAGTAGTTTACATCTTCTATGCATAGCATTATTATTAAAGTTTCTATTTTCATTATATAGGATTCATTTTTGTTAGATTGCTGAATTACCAAGCCATCCATGTGCTTGGTAGGTCATCTTATACAAGATTGGTTCGTTTCATGCTGAAGTAAACATATAATTCATATGTTGATATTTACTTTTGAAATTTCTCTCCTGAGGAAAATTGTACAATTATTTTGTGGAGTTTGACTCTTTAAACTTGCTATGAAGTCACCCCCAGGAATCCTAGACCCCAACAAATTTGGGGGTATTGTATACTCAACAGCTCATACAAATTGAGGGTTTGTTTTACTCTAATGAAAAATTTTTGGTTATGAGTGATTTGTAGATGGTGTGTGTGTGTGTGTGTGTGTGTGTGTGTGTGTGTGTGTGTGTGTG